CAGTCTTCAATCAATTAAACCCCAAAGACAATGTTATACATTTAAGTACTACTCATGCTCTAAACAACCCAAACACTCAATCCAACTAGTATGTCTTACTAAGATTATCACTACCTTATAAATGTCCTCGATCAATATCCCCAATTACAATATAACAAAAGCCAATATTATGCAAATATTTATGAAGACATAAAAATGTATCACACTGCAGCTCCTCAGCAGCATCGACTCTCAATGTAGCGTCGATGATGTGTTGACTCTGGGCATTGTATCACAGTGTCCTTATTCAAAGTCCTTCAGTCCAGTCTTATTGTCCATGCACATCAGGGTCCCCGAACATCCAACCACCCTTACAGTGGTCTTCCCCCAACACTGTTCTTGAAGGAAAGAAAAGAAAACCACCAACCAGTATCTTTTGCAAAAACAACAGATGCGAATTGAAATATGGATTAACACCTTATAAGTAAATGTGAAATTCACAGTATCATACTTTCACATTATTCCAAATTATAAATCACCTGTTTCATTTCCCCCCTTGTATCATCCCACTCTATAGTAAGAGACTACTAAATACCCAAATAGTAACAGAAATAAATGTCAAGACTATAATAAAAGTAGATATTCAAAATGGATATTTCTCCATCAGTTCACCTTCTATCACCACTTCTTCGTCATCGGCATCTGAACTTGATCTCCAGGCATCACAACTCCAACCCATCTCAATATCATAGCCTTCGCAAAAGTTAACAACAATGTTCAGAAACAGAGCATCACACTCAATAATATAAGAACTGCTACCATTATCTGAACCAACACTGCTCCCAACGGTCCTAATTTTTCCTGCAACCAAGCATTCGCAGACCATCCAGCTCCTTCCGATGGGCCAAACGTCTCCCTTATATGCTTCAATGCATCTATGACACTAGTCATCTTATCAGTACTCTCAGGAATCAAAGTATAACAGGCATCACCAGTTAAGTTCAAAGCCACACATAGGCCCCCTTGTTTGGCCAAAAGATAATCAAGAGCCATGTCACGTTTCAGCAACGTCAGTCTATGACTCTTGAGTATTTGACAAGTATTCAAAACCTCTTATAGTCTCATTTGCAAAACCCTGTAGGGTGTAGGTAATATTATCAATGTGATCTGCCAAAAATGTCACACCATACCATGGAAATAATCCTATACCCCACTTCTCTCCTAGACTTATCCTCCAATGACAGGACTCCAGATTATGAAATTGTGCTAGTTCCCTTTTCTTCCTACTTCCAGAAATAGCATCAGATTGAACCTCATCAGAAACTTTTCCCTTCTAGACAGTAAAACCTCATATGGAAGCTTCAACGTTGCCATGTAACAGCATCCTATCCACCCTTACGGTAGAAATATATATGCCTTATCACCACAAATCCCACAGATTTCACTTCCCAATGGATCAGGGATCGCTGTTATCATATTTTCCTACTGACTGTCATGCATCCCTATGGCTCAGAGGATTCCCTGGACTCCATCTCCCAGAATCCGCTGGGAGATCACCTGACCCCTGAGTACTGATCTGTTACAGCTGTGACCTCTCACCAGCTTCAGTATAAAGCCTGGGCTTTTAGAACAGTTCAGTGCGAGGTATTGCTTCTTTCTAGAGCCACTGAGCACGTTTATTTCCTATGTTGTGTTTTCCCGGTTTTGACTATTCATCTGTATTTTGACTCACCCATTTTTGCCTGACCCCTTTTGGATTGTTTTTGCCTGTTGTTATGTTTGTGTGTCTTTACTTGCTGCCCTTTCTGGATTGATCTGTGCCTGTTTCCTGACAACAATTTTGATTGATGAGTCAAACAGTGAAGCCTTTTTTGGTCTTTTTATCCGCGAGCGTCTGAGTGGTTCTATCATGTTACACTGATCAAGTAAATTCACATATGGTAACTCTCCCAACCAAGAACAATTATGTCTAGGTCTAAACAGATGCACTGACAAATCCATCACCTTATCCTCCGCTGATTGCTGCTGATATAACAGCCACTATAATGCATAAGACTGACATTTAGCACTTAATGGTTCTGGTACCTCTCTAAAATTGAAGGCCATGTGCCTGGTGTTGGAACTTTCACCACACATGGACAATTCAGCTTCCTAAACGATCTTACAGAATGAGTTAACTGCTGGAACCATAAGTCCCTACCTGCCCCTGGGTCTGTGATCTATAACACCTAGAAATCAAATCCACATGCCTTCCACTTAGTTTCTCTCTTCTGTAATACACAATAATGGTCAGTCACGTCTTCTGGTGACCAGTCAAAGTCAAAAAACTCATCTTCCACATCTAAAATAGTCCTCTGAGCTGTCACAGATGAATCTGCATCATGCTCTTCCACCATCTGTTCTCTAGGTTCAAAAATCTCATTACTACTATTCACACTAAGCTTTATCTTTAACATAGGTTTCTGGATTATATTTACTACTTCTTTAAAGGTCCAACATGTCATATCAGGTGTCTGTGTTACATTTACAAATTTTGTAGGGGACAGAGATTAGCAAAGGTTGCCCTTGGCCCAACCTCACTTGTAATATTTCCCGAAGTAACAAAAGTAGAAATTGTCGCCTTCCCTGTAGTAGCCTTCATCCCCTTCAAAGTCACAGCTACAGCAATAACCTCATCGATGCAGTATTCACCCTTGGAGTGGTTGCTGTGGTGAATCGTTCCTGAACTCTTTTAGTAACCATGATAACTTCAGAAGAACTCAAATCTTCTATCATAACTACCTTACGAGTTATATAACCCTCTCTCCACACATTTTCTACTGGCTCTCTTGAGCATTCAACATCTCCTCTCTTCTTTACCTTCAGCAACTTACTCCTCTGTAATCTTTCTCCTAACTTCCCCCCTTGCAACATGAGCTGACCCCTTTGTCTCCTCAATCATTAGACCTCACTCCGTGTCAGCACTGACCTACTGCTTCCTCTCTCTTTCTCTCTCTCTACACATACATTTTTCTCTCTTTTCATAAAGCTTATCAAAGTCCCCTGAAAGGGCTCATGAGTGTTTTATATAAATTTATAAAAGTCCTCTTTTTCTGAGGCTCATAAATCTTAATACTTAATCAAATACAAAACGTCCCTCAAGAAAGCTCATGGATATTAAGGAGTTCATATGCTTTTACACCTTATCATCTATACATTCCTAAAGCCAGTCTCACAGCTGGAACACCACCAAAACAAGCAACACACACACAGAACCCAGGTCCACACACACACACAGTAAGGGGGGGGGGCAGTCAACACTCAATCTGAAAGTCGACTCATTCATACTTATCCTATAGCATGCTTTATCCTGCCGCTCCTTTTTCTCTTTTACTTCTAAATTTATGCTCCTTTATGAGGTGTGAATATTCAATAAAGAGCTGCTTCAGACACTGTTCGTCAACTAGTGTTCGAGTGGGAACTTTACAATTGAATTTTCCCTTCCACACCTCCAGTTCCTTAGAACTGACCCAGAAATTCACCTAGTGATTTTCCAGGATTTTAGGCCCGTCTAAAACCGCCTCCCAGAGGGCTTTGGTCCAAATCTGCGGCTCCTTTTCTCTTTTAACTCTTATCATCTCTATTCTCTTCCCTCTTATTATTTCTCTTTAACTTTTATCCTTTCTATTCTCTTTGACTCCTCTTATGCCTCTTTAACTCTTAGCCTGTCTATTCCCTTTAACTCTTCTCTTCTCTTCTCTTCTCTATTCTCTTTACCTTCTCCTATTTCTCTTTAACTCTTCTCATCTCTATTTTCTTTAACTTCTCTTTTTCCCCATTAATCTAATTTCCCCCTCTAATCTAATTTCCCCCAGGGCCCTGGGCTGTTACTTTTCACTTTTTTAACCTGATCTGACTATTTCTCTAAGCCAACTTTCACGCAGTGACTAATATACATGTCTTACCGTTAAGAAGATAAGGGCCCAACCTTCATTAATCTCGCATGGTGTTATTTAGCTCACCTTATCATTACTAATCAGGCTATTTTACACTTGTACATCAGCTTTCCTTTTCTCTATTATACTCCCCCTTTTTATTGCGGCATGCACAACGCAATAAACCCCAATTTAGAACGGAGAAATACTCCAAACATCAACACAGCATGGCCCACACATGATTCTTTACGGTGCGACCAGACAGCAAACACCCAACATCCTCAACGAAAAAACCAGCGCACAAAAGTGAAAATCTCACCTGAAATGCCAGCATGTGCAGGAGTAAGTGCGCTAAGGCTGTCGGCGACGCAGCAGCCACATCACGTCCGAAGTTCGTGACGCCAAACATGTTGTTTACTAAGTAGTGATGATGTGAAGATGCTGAAGAAGTCTCCGCTGACACCGCATTACTTGCATAAGATGTTTATTACAAAGTAAAATGGTATCATATCAAGCACTATAAAGTACCTGAGAGAGGATTTGTGCCAATTGTGTCCCCTCCAAAACAGAATATCCCAACTGCTTATATAGGGTACTTGTTGTTGAAAAAGCAAACTGAACATATGGCCCTTTTTAAATTGTTCTCATCTATGTGGAACTAAGAGATAGACCTTTGGACCAGGGGGCCTTTTTAACGTAAACAGTTCAAATCCTGCAGGACAGATAACACAGAGGACTTCAGACCTCACCTTATACTTACAGAAGTTTAAGAGTGTTTTTACCTTCTTCTATAAAACTATTCTTCTAAATACACCTCATATTCCCTGAATGTTTATCCTCAGTTCAGCCGTTTAAGCAGCTCAGCTTCATATCTGAGAGGTAATTAAAACTAAGAGGATCTTTGAAATTCTGCACAGCTTCATGATTTGTGTTGAAGTTTTTACTGTAATTTTACTGTAAATCCATGATGTGACTGACAGGCTGTAGGTGAGCTGGTGTGGAGCGACTCTACAATTCCAGCTTTATTGTTCTTTGATCTGTTTCCTGCTCTCTGGCGTCACTTCTAGCCTTTCTCCTTTAAACTCCTCCCACTGAAACCCCTCCTACTGAGGAGGTGCTGAGTGTGAGGCGTCTGCAGAGCTTTACAGGCTGCACTGTTGGGATCTGCTGAGTCCACTTTTGTTGGTGGGTTTATGGAGAATTCTGGATCTGGAGAATCACTCTGAAGGGAAATGATCACTAACTGGATCTACAGCCGCCTGTTTGACTGGAAACACACCTGAGATCAGGTGAGAGTTTCACACAACTGAAAGTGAAAGTCTGAGCATTCTCACTGGACGGAACAGCAGGAACAGGAAATGGCTTCCAGATCTTTCTCAGAGGAGGATCTCTCCTGTCCTGTGTGCTGTGAGATCTTCAAGGATCCTGTTGTTCTGCTCTGCAGCCACAGTGTGTGTAAAGACTGTCTGCAGAAGTTCTGGGAAACCAAAGGATCCAGAGAATGTCCAGTTTGTAGGAGGAGATCTTCAATGGAGTTCCCTCCTTCAAACCTGGCTTTAAAGAACCTGTGTGAGAGTTTCTCACAGGAGAGAATTCAGAGAAGTTCAACAGAGCCTGGAAACATCTGCAGTGACCACACTGAGAAACTCAGACTCTTCTGTCTGGACGATCTACAGCCGGTGTGTTTGGTGTGTCGGGACTCTAAAAAACACACCAACCACAAATTCCTCCCCCTTCAGGAAGCAGCACTCGACTACAAGGTGGGTTATGAGTGACCACGCTTTGTCAGAAGCTCCATAAATTCACTAAATTCAGCTGAAAATAAAAATAACTGGTCATTTTCCTAAATGTGTGACCTGGATCCTCACTCTGAGAGACAGGAACACATTGGGACACCAGTGTGGACTTTATATCTCGCTTTGTTTCTCACTAAAACGCTGATTTGTTTCAGGAGGAGCTCAAAACTGCACTGAAGCCCCTGAAGGAGAAACTGGACGTCTTTAAAAGGTTTAAGCTGGATTTGGATCGGACTGCAGATCATATAAAGGTCAGAGTAACAAACTCTTCTGAGATTATGAACCGGATCCTCACATAATCGCTCATATTTCATTAGATTCACTGCTTCCTTCCAGACTCAGGCCCGACGCACAGAGAGGCAGATTAAGGAGGAGTTTGAGGAGCTTCACCAGTTTCTACGAGATGAAGAGGCAGCCAGGATATCAGCACTGAGGGAGGAAGAGGAGCAGAAGAGTCAGACGATGAAGGAGAGGATTGAGAAGATGAGCAGAGAGATATCAGCCCTTTCAGACACTATCAGAGCCGTAGAAGAGGAGATGGCAGCTGAAGATGTTCCATTCTTACAGGTGAGTGTCTCTCAGTCAGCGCTAGAACCTGAACAAGGAACCAAACTAACAGTTCAGAACTAGGGTTAGGGTTGGGGAACTGGGAACAAAATCACTGTCAACACTCCCAGAGTGAAAACTTCAAATAAAGTCATTTAAAATTGTTTACCCATTTAAAATCATGTAAAAAATGTAATAAAAATGCATAATTTTCATATGATAATGATTTTAATAGTATGTGGCGTTAAATAAAGGCGGCCGGTGTCGAAGCGTCTGAGTGTGCAGGGGGTTCACTTACATTCAGGCCCATGTTTTGTCTGTTTATCATGTTGTTTATGTATGATCTCCTCTGTTTTTATCAGTGATAACTGATCAATTCCAAACCCTGTTTAATTTTCTTAGTCCTCCAATCAGTGATCGGCAACCATTATTGGATTATTCTACTGAACTGGTTCAAAGTCAGAGTTGAAAATACATTTAACTGATTTGGACTTTAGACTAAAGTCCTTTTCCTCTGAGTGACCCTGTACCCTATTATTTCATTAAAAGAAATGAACATTCCATTTTGTCACTACCAACACAATCATAACATTAGTCCTATACTGGCTGCGTTTTTAACTTCTGCTCAAAACAAGCTAAAATTGTCAGTACTGAAACACTAACTACTGAAAACATTTGACAATTTTGTTCGTTTTGACCAGAACTCAAAGTCATAGCCAGTACATGACTGAAACACAGCTTTGAGCATTAAAAAACAAAGGATTACTTAAATGTAGACAATCTGTGTTTCAGTAGTGACAATTTTTAATGTTCCACACTGATTTTCAGACTTTGGGACACATTTTAAAACAACAGGATCTAACTGCTCACCATGTGGCTACGAGGGACAGGGATGCTCTAGCTCATATGTACGCCCAAAAATAGTGCACGCAAAAATCAATATTTATGAAAGTGAAAGCTGATGTGAGAACCACTCCTCATATTCTGAATATTCTCCCAATATTCACAGATAAACAGATTTGACCACTTTCACAAAATCTCAGCATGTATGATCGGGTGGCTGTCATGCACAGCAGCTTCATGTTTGGAGGACTGATCAGACAAATGCATGTGTTCATGTGCAGTTTGCAGATGAAGTGGAGTAAATGCAATCACTGGGTTAATTCTGGTGTTTGTCTAACATATTATCTACATCGTCCCACTCTGATTCATGACAAGAAACTAATGTTTTTCATAAATCTGACAAGAAACATCTGTACAGACAAACTCAGAAAAATGTTTACGCACCACTTTAGTAGGGATTCTACACTATTAGCAATAACGGATCTATATGGTACCAAAAAATGGTTCTTTGGTTTGTAACAATAGTGGAACGCTTTTTTTGCTATATAGAACCCTTTTCAAAATGGTTCTACATAGAACCATCTACAGCACATTCTCCATCAATCTGAAGAGTTGATTCACCATGCAGAGAACCATTTAATCATACAAAGCGTTCTCTTGAGTGTTCATGGTGCTATTTAGGACCAGCTTCCTTACTAAAGAACCCTTGAAGAACCATTGTTTTTAAGTGCGTAGGACCATCTTTTATACAGTGTGTATACATCTGACACATATGACCCCTGTGGTGTTTCCACTGTGTGAAATTGTTTATTCAGTAAATAAAAATAAGCCCATGACTGAACGGAGAGCAGAGTCACTGATCCACTCTCACTGTTTTACAGAACTACAAGGCCACAGTGAAAAGGTGAGTGTTACTGTCTGCCGTCTCTCTCTTTTCTGTGGTTCTGAACTCAAAGCTTCAGCAGCACTGAGTCCTGAATGTTCTTCCAGAGCTCAGCTCACACTGCAGGATCCAGAGAGCCTTTCAGGAGCGCTGCTCCATGTGGCCAAACATCTGGCCAACCTGAAGTTCACCGTCTGGGAGAAGATGCAGCAGATCATTCACTTCAGTGAGTCTTTCTTTCTTTCTCTTTCTTTCTTTCTTTGTTTCTCAAGGCCAGATTAAGACCCCCACAGACCCCTGGGTGTTGACACTCTAAGCCCCCCATCCTCCAACAAACCATCCTAAACTAAAGCTCACAGAGGAATGAAAACTGGTTATGGATCACTATCTTACCTTTGAGGACTCTGTGCTCAGAATGAGCGCTCGCTTTCTCAGC